AAAAAAAATTGAAATACCCATTCATTCATATACATAGTTGTGTGTTCATTCAACAGACAATTATGGAGCAAGTGCCTGTGTTAGGCACTGGTGATTTCAATCTAATCTAATGAAAGAGAAGGAAGAGGCGATCTTTTTGGCCTGGCTCAAGGGTATTGCCTACTTTGAGCCTTTCTCCATCCTTCCTTCACCTCCAGCTAGAGTAGATCACCTCCTCCTCCGAGCCCTGGTGGTGGACCAGGTTCATATCCCTAATAGAGACCTAAGACTTCAGGGCTTCACTTTCAGCCCTCAGGAATACTTTTTGGCTACAAGTAACAGAAAACCCATTCTCAGCAGTGGCTTAAATAAAGCAGACATTTACTACTGTACCTAAAAAGACAAGGAGTCTGGTCATGAAGCGGAGATCGGGCTGCGGAAACCCCCCACCTCCTACGTTCGAACCACCATCAACAAGAATGCCCGGGCCACCCTCAGCAGCAGCCGGCACATGATCCGCAAGAACAAGTACCGCCCAGATCTACGCATGGCTGCCATTCGCAGAGCCAGCGCCATCCTGCGCAGCCAGAAGCCTGTGATGGTGAAAAGGAAGCGGGCCCGCCCCACCAAGAGCTCCTGAGCACCTGCCCCTGCCTCTAAAGCAATAAAGATGCCAACCTCCTCAAAAAAAAAAAAAAGACAAGGAGTCTGAGAATCCAGGGCAGGTCAGAGGTCCAGTGAAATCCTTCAAGGCCCCAGTCTCTTCCTAACTTTTGGTTCGTCCTTTTTTTTTTTTAAAGATTTTATTTATTTATTTGACAGAGAGGTAGAGAGCACAAGTAGGCAGAGAGGCAGGCAGAGGGAGAGGGAGAAGGAGGCTCTCCGGAGCTGAGCAAGGAGCCCGACGCGGGGCTCGATCCCAGGACCCTGGGATCATGACCTGAGCCGAAGGCAGCCGTTTAACTGACTGAGCCACCCAGGCGCCCCTTGGTTTGTCCTTCTTAAGTTGTTAGAGTTTTTTGTTTTGTTTTGTGTGTGTGTGTTTTGTTTTGTTTTGTTTTTTAGATTTTATTTATTTATTCGACAGAGAGAGACACAGCAAGAGAGGGAACACAAGCAGGGGGAGTGGGAGAGGGAGAAGCAGGCTTCCCACTGAGCAGGGAGCTGGATGCGGGGCTCGAACCCAGGATCCTGGGACCATGACCTGAACCACCCAGGTGCCCCAGTTTTGTTTTGTTTTTTGTTCTTCATTTCCACACTCATCATCTCAAGATCACACTATGGCCATAACATGAGTAAGTCCTCACACCAACATCCCAAAGAAGAAAGAAGGGGCATAAGCAAAAAGCCTTTTCCTTCTGAGGCTCAGCCTTTTTTTCTAGAAAATGAGGGCCACAAGCAGACCTCCCCTCTGGTGTCTTTGGCCAGAAACACTCAGAAAGAGGGATGGGATTGCCAGGGCTGCCTTAGACATATGGTGACTCACCCCGGGGCTGGGAGGGATCTCTGTCCTTCCTACACCACAGCGAAGGAGGTAGAGGGCGGGGAGGGGCCTCTGGGCTCTTGACCATGTGTTTTCCCTTGCTGGTCAGTCCCTCAGGGCCTCTGCCTCCACAATGCCTGCATCCTTCTTGCAGACATCCAAAATGGCGGCCCCTCCTCTCCTCTCTCTCCCAGGAATACTGCACTTCCCATAAGGAGCTGGATAGCACTCAATAAATGTTTGTAAGGAAATGACAACCAAAAAGAAAAAAAAAGTTTGATTTTATGGAGGGTATGAGGAGAAGAATTTGTTTCATAGACTTGGTGAACAAATAGAACCCCTAGACCAGGAGTGCTTTGCCAGGAGACCATGACTGTCAGGGGGGTTCCCTGAACCCCTGAAACTGTATGAAGCATCTGCATAAATGTGTATATGAATTTTGGGTGGGGTGTGTCCTTGGTTTCTATGGAATCCTGAAAGGTTCTGCAACCACCAAAAGACTTGGAAGCCCCACCTTCAGTGGCCTGTGACAACACTGTCCAATCCCCCATGGGCGTGCCAGGAGCCAGCATCCTACGGTGAACTGTAACCTGACTGGGCAGAGCCCCCAGAGCCCCCAGGATGCCCCTGAATTCCTACAACCTCTCCTCCCAGGTGACAGACTACATCTGTCTTATTTTAAAGAGCAGACTACATCTGCTCTCTCCAAATGGCGTTATTATTCTGTCTTCCAGCACAGCCTGGAAAGAGTCTCTCACTGTGACTCACCACCATCCTCCCGTGAACAATGGTCTGTGAGCTCCATCACTCACTCTGGCTGACACCCTGGACTGGAAAGAGCTGATTCTAAGTGAGTGGTTGTATGGGTATACGGCATACTGAGGGCAGGGGCAGAGGGAGGGAGGTGGGGTGGAGGTAAAGCCGGTGCCCACCATCCAGATTTACCCTACCTGTTCGGAGGGAACGGAAATTTACCTATAGCCGCTGGAGGCTGGTGAGCTACCTGTTAAGCTCCAAGCAGCCTCTGCATGGCCCAGAGCTTGTATGTGGGAGTGGGGAACTAAAAGAAGCCCCCTCTCCTCCCCTCCCTCAGTGGGCAGCTCCTTCCCACCAATCAGGATGGAGAACAGGCTGCTGCTGAGTCCGCTTTGGGAGGCTGAGTGAGCTAATTGGAGGATAGCACCCCACCCCCATAATTCAGAGTGAGACCAGACCCAGGACAGTTTCCCCTGTTCAGCCTCCCTGGTTCGCACCCTGGTTTTTAAGCCCTGAACTTGTTATGTGATCTTGGGACACATGTCTGTTTCTCGGTTGGTTTCCTTAAAGAGAAAGTTACAGGGCTGGTTTTTACTGTTGTTTCCAACAGCCTCTGATCACAGGAGGTAACTCTGGGAGGGTTCCAGTGAGGATCCCGAGAGACCAGGAGGAGAAGCACCTTGGAGGACTAACAGGAGGCCCCCGGGGAAGAGGAAAGAGACAGACCCTGGCCTCTGGACATCTCATACCTGTGGTTTTCCAACCAGGCTGCTCTCTCCAATCAGAAAGCGTTGTCCGTATCAGGATTGCTTACCACTTACCTACTGACTCAGAATCTTGCAGAGGATGGGACCAGCACCTGGACTTTTACAAAGCTCTCCACGAAATTCGGAAGCAGCTAATGGTGGAGATCCAAGATCTGAGCCAACCCCAATAAGCTGCCGACCGTCCCTTTCTAGCCACTCCACTGCTTGCATTGGAGATGCCCATTCCAGGGATGGTCCCCCCTTCAAAAGGAAAGGAAAAGCCTCTGAAGCCAGGACTCTCTCAAAGCAATGGGTTCCAGACCTCAGCCAGGTTCTCTGGGGCAGCACATCTGCTTCCAGCTACTGCAAGCCCACTGAGCCCACGCACATCTGTTGCCCCGCACTGCCGGTCCCCTCTGGGAGGCATCCTTCCCAGAGCCACAGGTCTATCAAGACCCTGAGTGGAAATACATCTGTCGTTTAGCTGGTGATAGACACAATACCAAGAACAGTATACTTATCTATCACTGGAGGAAAAGAAAATTGAATGGGTTTCTGAATAACCACGGAATGGCTCACACAGTGTGCAGGAATTCATTATCAAAGTTGGCTCTGCTCGTCTCAGACGTGCCTTTGGCACTCTTGGTTCTGAAATTTGCGTTCCTAGATGGAGGATAGGGCTGCAGATAGCAGACAGCTGAGATGGTGTGGGGAAGGGAAGGATTCAGAAGCGGGCTGAGTGGTGGTTGTCTAGGAAAAAACCAGTATCAGCTGGAATTGTTTAGTTGTAATGGCAGAGTCTATGTGGTTTCAGAAAAACAAAGGTGTTTATTAGCATTCATGGAATGGCCCAGAGTTATATCTGATTCAATGTCATAAGGAATTTTTCTCCTGCTCCTGGTTTTGTGTTCCTCTCTGGGGGCTTCAGTCTTAGCCAGGCCTGCCCAAAATGGCAGCAGAGATGGTCCCTGTGGCTCCAGGCCCACGGGTTAGCAGCTTAGCCACCCCAGGGAAAGAATTCCTCTTTGTCCTAGAACATCCAGCTACAGACTGAGGGTGGGATCTCATTGGAAGATGTGTCATCTGGACATCTCAGTGGTCAGGCCTGACGCCAAAAGGTGAGGTCAGCTCCACTCAAACCACGTGAACTAGCAGAATGGCAAAGGCTTCTTAAAGGGAAACCAGGGTGCTGTTATTAAAAAAGGGGAGGCCAGATGCTGGGAAGGCACTCAAGAGCAGGAATGAAAAAGCACATGCTCTGCCTTCTCTCACATGCAGTGCTCATTTCTACTATAGATTTTTCTAGATGGTTATTTCTTTACTCTTCCCCACTAGTAATGTGCCTTGGGGGTATCATCTTGACACTAGTCGCTTGACACCTATTCTATAGGCGGTGCTTAATAAATCCTAGTACAATGGTGTAAATAACACAGAACAGGGATTTTAAAATCCTGGGGTTCTATCTTGATTCTGTCCCTAACTTGTATGTAAACTTTGACCAGTGCCTTCTTCTCCTTGGGCCTCTTTCTGATATACCAGATGAGGGGTCAACAACCTTTCTTTGTAGAAGACCAGAGAGTAAATATTTTAGGCTTTGTGGGCCACAGGGTTCCCAACTACTCCGCTCTGCCATTAAAGCACACAAGCAGAGAAAGGCCATATGTGAGTGAACAGGCATTGCTGGGTTCCAATAGCATTTCATTTACAAAAACAGGTGGTGGCCCACATTTGGCTATCTAGCCATAGTTTGGCACCTGGTTCTTTCTTTGCTTTCCCTGTTGGTGTGTGACAGTCCACTCAAACATCCAACAGCTTAAAATAACAGAGAACATTTATTTTGCCGGTGAATCTGCAATCTGGGAGACTTGTCAGGTCACCTCCTCTCTGGTCCAGGCAGTTTCAGCTGAGGAAGCTCCATGGAGGCTGGAGGAGCCACTTCTAAGACAGTTCACTCAACATGCGTGGCAAGCTGGTGCTGGCCGTCCGCTGGGAACTCCCGGGGGGTAGTTGGCCAGGGGCTTGATACTGTTTCGTGTGGGCTTCTTCGTGGGGCTGCTTGGGCCCCCAAAGTTGTTCTCACCCAACAGATGGGAAGTAGAAGCTGTCAGAGTCTCAAGGCCCAAGTTCAGAAGCTGACACGGTGGTGGACTCTGGGTCAAGTAGTCACAGAGCCCACCCAGATTCAAATGGAGGACACATAGTTGCCTCTTCTCAAAAGGAGGAATGTCAAAGAATGTGCAGCCATTTACAATCTGCCATAGTGAACTCTTAGGGCTCTGCTTAGTTCGGATGCCCCACGGTTTGAGAGCTTAGGCTGTCCTTGGATTCCAGGAACCACTGTCCAGTTCCCTAAACTGACTGTAAGAGCATCACTGTCCCCCATACCTGAATCCCTCACATCCTTCGACCTTTATAATGTCCCTGCAACCTCTCCCTCTTCTCCCTCCCCGCCACCACCACTCAGAGCAGCCTGAATGTTGCAGTGGCCTCCTAACTAGTCTCTTGGTTCCCAGGCTATCCCCATCTGCTTCCAGAATTATCCTCCTAAAGCACTTCTCTAGTGTTCCCTAGTCAAAATCGTCAGTGACTCCCTCCTACCACACTGGGTTCCGCTTCCTCTTCCAGCCTTACTTCTGAATACTTCTTTCAGGCTGA